AAAACAAACGACTGTCAGCTCACTTTGCTGCCAACTAATGGAAGAAAACGAAATCTGGAGAGCTTAAAAAGGCATTTTCCCGGTGTTTTCAGTCATTTTTCGAGAAAAATCCGACTTTTCTGCGAAATCGCCTAGTTTGCAACTTATCGCCGTTCCTAAAATTGGTGTCGGGGACCACCTCTCAAAATCGCCTAATTCGCGACAAATCGCGGCATGTGGCAGCACTGCTGCTTTGTGAGCCCAGTTTAAACGTGAAAAGCAGGTAAAGTTTTCAAAGTGAATATATGTTGAGCAAAACTTTACAGGACAAAATAAGGCCGCTTTTTGAAGTTTTTATAGTGTTAAATTATAAAAACAGAGATATCTATGATATTAAGAATCAGTTAGTTTTCCTTTTCTATAACGTCCAATGAATTTCTCATTAACAGAATACCAACTTGAAAGTTAATGTGAAACTAAAGGATATGTTAGAACAGGATTGAATCACTTAGCAACCAATAAACAAACCTCAAGAATAACATCCTCAAAAACATAGATATCTCAAAATTTTATATAATCAAATCGTAATTTAAACGTATCAGTACAGACAGTTCTTTGAAAAAACGCTTTGGTTCACATGAAAAAATAAGTTCATCCTTTGATTATTTGCAATTAAAGCCTCATCAGTGCAAAATGGACAGTGAATACCCAGGAGCTCACGGATTTGTTATGTTTTTGATAAATTGTCAACTTATGGTTCAAAACAACAATGAGATAATAACTCTAACCATAGAAGCAATGAGAAACAACGAATCCCTTCTTAATGATTTTTCAAAATTAATTTTCCATAACCTCACAGTTGAAGAAGAAGAAGAAATTGAATATTTAATGTACATGCTTGACCGTTTGATCAGATATAATTGTTTGACATATAATGGCGAACTATTACGTTTATCCGAAAAATACCTAAGAAAAATCCTTTACGAGTTCAACGCTGCCTTAAACCTTTGAAAACGAGTCCTACATGAAGTGACATTACCCCATTTTTAAAAAAATAAACTTCTCCAAAAAATCCAAATTCAAATTACAAGTATACCCCAATCTTTAAAAAGTCTTGCTAATCTTCATCTTCCTTAATATAAACAGGTCTGTCATTAGGATTGCATACATATTCGTAAAATAAGAGATTTATCTTTGATTTATAATTTTACATATTTATTTCAGTCACTGAAAGAAAAACAATTTCGTGTTTAAGGTCCCAAGACTTTGACCATTATCAAAACTTTTAATGCATGTTATTGTGAAGCTTTAAACAAGAAACATGCTAATCTTTTTGACAACAAGTCATAAACGTTTCTTAAATTTATTAAGGAACTGAAAGGCTGCATGAGCCTCTTTAAAAATCAAGAACAAACAAACAAGGTAATGATAAAAAATCTCTATTTTATCTACTAAGGCAAGGAATTGTCTGTGTGTTACAAAGAAAGTTCCTTTTCCTTAATGTCAACAAGTATAACAGTAAAATTTGATTACGAGTTTCCATTTGTGTGTTTTCAGAGGGGTGTTCTAAGTACCAGGTGATTCAAAGCAAGGACCACAGTGTTGCGGGTTTACCTATCGTCGACTCATCGGGGATACAAGTTAGAGGTGAGGAAAAGAGCAAGAAACTGTCTGTGTGAGACAAAAGAAATTTATTTCATCAAATTTCAAGACTTTAGACCAATACGAAATTAAGGTTTTTGATCTTTTGTTTTTGTTTCATGACTACAAGACGACATTGAAGATTTGCATTTTGATAAAATAAAAAAAGAGTTTTGAAAATGCCTGGAAGACTCAAAATAAAAGTTAACTGGAAAACTTTTTGAATTCTTCAATAACTTTTCTCATATTCAATGCTGAAAATAAACTCCCCACTTTGTCAAAAAGTTTATACAAGAGGCTGTTCCAACTTAAAGTTACCTTTAACAGAAGTTATCTTATTGAAATCATCACAAATTTTAGCCATTAATAAGTGTATCAGAAAATTGCGATATGTTTTGTATTGGTTATGATGATATACAACGACTAAAAATCTTGGCTACTAGATTAAGGTCACTTATTACGCATGCAAACCCATAGTTCAACAAGAAGTACATGTAGCGCTCACTGACACAACCAAGAACATACTGAAGATAACAAAAGATATTTTGTTATATACATATAACATAAGGACAAAATCTATTATTTTCTTTTGTTGTTTACATTTGTGCCATGGTAAACTTAACCTGAAATACTTTAAAGCATATTAAAGGGCCATCTACAATCAGGTAAAGTAAGACAGTAAAAATGGAGTAAAAAAGGATTTCTGTGGAGTAAAGCATGGAGTAGTATTGGACCAAATCCAACCCCACTCTATACTGGACATCTATCTTGAACTGGAGCCTTCATCTTTTTCAACATTTTTCACAACACTACATTTGAAAAATTACGACGTTTACCTCTGGCAACATTGCCCAATCCACCTCACTTATAAAAAAGACATATTGCTTTTGAATGTGAAAAGAACGGTTCAGTTATTAAGAAATTTAAATTTTTCATAAATTACAATAAACCTGCCAAATACCGGGTGAAAATCGAAAGCGTACAGGTAACGTTTCCATACTGCTGTATGTTTATCAAAACTATATGTGTGCTCCTACAGTGTCTTCACTTCACGTTGTCTTCCCTTACTTTTAAAGATAAAAAGTGCATATAAAATGAAGACAAAGTGAAAGCAGGTTTCATAAAAGCTCCCTTTACTTAGGTTTCGTTTGAGCTTAACTTAATATTCAGTCAAAGTAAAGTGAAGACCAAGTGAAGGTAACTGAAGGCTGCATTGTATGAGCATCCTGTAGAAAAAATAAATTAGTTTTTCAAGGTTTTCTATTGTTTATTTACAAGTGGAAAGATTTTTATGAAATAGAAGATAAAAATATACTAGTTATTGCTGCTCTTGTGGCAAAAAATGTATTCAAAAACATAAAAGAAACAAAAAGAATAAACGTATAAGTACTTGTTGAATGTCGAATCAAGAAAAAATCAAGAGATTTCTCAATGTTAGTGTATCAAAAAAACTCATGACAAAATCTGCTTTGTTTCTTGTTGAGCACCGCCCTTAATACAAACGGTTTCCTGTATTTATGACACAGATTTGTCACTTGACATGTGTACTTGAAGTTAACAAGCGCTTTTTCTTATGTTGAAGCCTATCCTTAAGACGAATAGCTTCTCTCTTTTTTTCTGATAATTTTTTTCGATACTGTTGCATATACTGTCGCATATATAATTTTCTCTTATTTTTTTTGGGTTATCTTTATGTCTTCAATTGAAGCACCAGAAGAATTGCACACCAAATTTTGCTTGAAACTCAAGGTTAAGTTCTGAAACAAAAATTAAGGGAAACAATTATTTTATTTCTAAGTAAACAAAAAAGTTATAAACACATAAAACAAGAGGGCAATTTTATTTCTCAAAATGTTTATTGACAAACAGGAAAATTTCATAGAATCATGATCTTATTGACTTTGACATTTGTTGTAACTTTTTCAGAAACCTTCTGCGCATTTTAAACCGGGAAGAACTAGTACATGAATTTAATCTTTGTAAAGACAGGGATGTAAGCAAACATATTGAGTTGAAGTCGGGAACACGAGATAAGGCAACATATAAAAGACCAAGAGCAAATTCAGAATCACCTGCATCAAGCACAACTCTTAATAAACTAAGTCCCTGTGCTTTATGTATTGTACAGGCCCAACATAAAGATAATGGAAGCTGAAAACGGGTGCAAGGTGTTCCATTTTTATACCATTGTGATTGTACTGGACAAATAGGTATGTACTTTATGTTAAGATCAGTGACATCTACATTTTCAAAATGGACAAGGACACATACAGGTAAATTTGGTGGTTTGACACCTTTTTCATATAAGAAATGCTTCAAAATACCTATGGCTCCATTAACAAGTCCCCTATTAACATTTAAGTTTTTTCGTAACATCACCTTTGCACCAATGCTTAATGTGATTATGTTTGTTAATCCATCAGCCAACTCATCAGAAGATAAAAAAGCAGTTTTACAGTTATTTTCTGATTTGATATTAGCAATTGGTCTTCTTAACAATTTAAGTTTCTGAATGTTGTAATCATTGGCACTTTCATTAGTTGAGCAAATGCGTATACAGCTGTTAAACTTTCTTTTCTCATTAGAAGACAATTCATTGATGAATCTACGACTAATACTTAATCTTTCTTTTTCAGTGCATCTACCACTAGATACTTTTCTTAAAAACGACACATAGTCCTGGTTGGCAAATCGATGACATTGCTTCAATACATAGGCGTGGGTAAGTTGACTCATTAACATAGTTCCACGTTCAAGTAATGAATTAGTTGAAGATAAAGTTGTTATTTCAGAATACAATGGTTGGTCAGCTACTGGTAGCAATTGGTTTGCATCACCAAAAAAAACCACAGCTAAATTACCAAAAACACTTTCACAACCAGTAAAGTCTCTGCATCTTGAGTCGAGACAAGCTAACATACGCATTCCAACCATTGAATATTCATCCAAGAATATAAATTTTAGACCATTGTGTTTTTCCTTAAAGTGTAACAATTCAACACCCGTCAACCTTTCTACTTTGTATGTATAACGACCAAGGGACAAAAATGAATGAATTGTTGAACCATTTACAATATTTGCAGCTACTCCAGTTGGTGCAATAATTTTCACAGCATTATTATTGAGATGAGATCTTATATACTGAGCACAGCATTTCAGCAAAAACGTTTTACCAGTCCCTGCCATACCCTGGACAATTATAAAAGGTGACTTAAAACTTTTTTGAGTTTTGAAAGAATGAGCTAATGTCTTAATGTGGTTAAAGACTCTTAATTGATCCTTGTTCAAAAATTTATAATCAACCTTTTCATGTTTTTCAGATATGTTATCTTTTTGTAATTTTTCATACACTGAAAAAACAGCATCCTTGGAAAGCTTTACACATAAATAGTCCCAAACAAAATGACTATTATTGAGAGGTAAATCAATCATAGAGACATGTTCAGAATTTGGGTTATATGATGACAGTATAGATTGTTCATCTTTGTTAAGGCTTTGATGACTTTTATCATTATCAGTATTACCATTATTATCATCAGACTCACTGTCATCACTATCGTAGATGTTTGATAAATGATTTGTAAGATCTCGCTTTTCATAACTTTTGTAGCAAGACATAACATAGGTTTCCATTTCTTTGTTAACAACTGAAACATCATCCAGAGATTGCCATGGGTAAAAAAGTATAGTTAAGTTTTGGACAAAACCAACAGAATCCATATTATATGGGTGGCGTGGAAAAAAGCGTACAACAGCTGGCTTAAGACGCAATGTGAAGGTAGTACTTTGTAGTTTGTAATATTTTGAAAAGTCATAAAGAGATAATTTTTGAAACGTTGACGAACGGTTGGAATAAGTTTCAAAAATGTTTTTTATGTGATACTTCCCTTTTAGACATGTCCAATCTAAGTTTTTTAAGTTAATAACCACAAACTCTCTACTGGAATGATAAAAGTGATACCCCATTAAGAAATGCATTACCTCTTGTGAACAATAGTCTCTTTCACCACAAGAAGAAATCAGTAGTTTCCTTATAGCCTTCTTGGCATACTCTGAGTCATCACATGTTTTGTTTAAAATTTCACCAAGAACATGATTATAACTAACAGACTTAACTTCAGACTTTGCTGCATATTTTGCTATGTATCTGTAAACAATTTCTTTAGTTATGATAGGTGAAAAATCAATATTGGCTCTCCAAGTCTGTAATAACCATTTGTTAAACTTGTTAACATATACATCATTTCTTTTAAAGTTTATATTGACAACAAAGTCATCTTTAAGTTCAAATGTAGATTCAGAAGTCAATGGTTTAGGGAATTTGTAACGACATTCCATAACTTTGTTTTTCCCAGTCGGGCGCAGACAATGTTTAGCAGTACACTTTGTATGCCTCTGAACTCTATTTATCAAATGAGCTAAATCCTTCTCTTTGTCTTCAACTTTATCAAGAGAGATTTCACAAGGATGTTGATTTAAAGGTATTAAGTGAATATCAGGGTTTTCACAAGATATGATTTCATCATAATACTTTAAAATGTCTGCCATTTCCTCCTTTGACATACCTTCTTTGACTTCAGGTGCATTCTTAAACCATGCCAAACCATGTAAATGGATTGCCCCACGATGCTGGAACTCATACCTGTACCACATGTCTGTGACCTCAAAATGTTTTTTAAAACAATTTTCGAGGAAATACTTGGAACGCATGTAAAAGAATGAGTCTACAACTAAAGGATTTTGTGCCAATAACTGACCTCTTTCTCTAAGAGAAAGGTCATTCACACTGTGACCAAGAAGTCTATAAAGGTCAGGCCAATAATAATCTGCACTACTCAGTGTAAAAAATATTGTTGGTGTACCAATCTGGTTAACCATATCCAAAAGTTCAGAGCAACGAGAATTCCAATAAGACTTTGAGGTTCTCAAACGAGAACCAAAATGCATTATCTGATTTACAACTGATGGATGTTCCTTAAAATATTCTTTTAATTGCAAGACAGTCATTTTCGAAAAAATTGAGTTTTTTTTGACATAGACATTACCAATGTTAAGAGCATTCCAGCGCATTTCACTATTCATGATAAAATACCTAAAACGCTCATCTGAAGAAAATCTACCATCTTTATACAACATCAAATGACGAATGTATTCGGATAATAATACTTTCTTTTTTTTTGGCATTGAGTAATCACATGTTCCAAAACAGAAAAGGTGAGGAAATGCCATAGACATATATCCAGGTGAGGAAAACTCATTAAGTGGCACAGTACCCACTGATGGCCAGACAAGCTGATTGGTAAAAGATTTTAACACAGTTGGATTATGACTATCTGGAACACTTGTAAAAGTGATATCTTCAGAATCAGTATCATCAAGATCATCACATGATTCATCAGAAAAATGGTCAATTTGGCTTGTAGTCTTATCATCTTTTTCATCTTGTTCTGATTTGTCTCTCTCTGAAATTGTCATTTTCAGTTCCTTATAAACACATCTATCAAAAGGAAGTTTCTCAAGGTTAGATTCGTCAATCTTAACATCATGATAAAAAGGATTATGTTTTTTAAGCCAAAGTAAAGCTTCCAAAACTTTATCTTTCCTGACTACAAAATCTCTCAATGTCACATCAGATTGCAATTTTACAACAACAATGTTTGAGATGTCAGTAATTAAATGAGGTAATTTGTCTGCAACTTCCTGAACATTTTGTGTAAAATTTATGACTTGACCTTTATATTTATATTCCAATTTTTTGATTCTGTATAAGGAAATGACAGGGTGGACACGACTAATCAACTGTTTCTCAATGTACGATAAGTTTTGAAGCTCAAGAGGTACATCTAAAGGATGCATATCATTTTCTTTAGAAAATAAGCCACAATTTTTCGTACAGGTAAACTTTTTGAAATGGCTATGTATAACTTTTTTACCGCATGATTTACATTCCACCCAATCCAAAGACTTCAAATAACAAGTAAAGTTGTACTGGTCTACATCACTAACATCTGAGTTAAAAACAACATTAGTTTTTTTAGAAAGTCGTTTTAAATACCTCCTTTGAGCATTCAGACGTTTTTCAAAAGCTACCTTAGATTTTGATTTTCTTTTCCTGATTTT